AATAAGGTATTAGTAATTAATGCATACATTAATTTTTCTAACATACTACCAAACAACCCCTAACTGTTAAACCCATTTCTTTTTATTAAACCAAAACAAAGTCTTTCTTTGAGTTAGTAAAGTAATGATATGAGTAATAAAAATTCAAAAAATATAAAGAAGGAAAGAAAAAGAAAATAAGCAATCATAACAAGTAGGAGTGTACATGACCGAGTTGGTTCGGGTTTTTCAAATATCAAACCATATCATTTGTAATAAAAAATTTAAATTTATAAACCAAACCAAACTAATAAAATTCGAATTTTTCGGATTTTCAACCTCGGGTTGGTTCGGGTTTTCAAATACCAAACCAAACCATTGTGTCGAATTTTTAAATTTATAAATCAAACCAAATTAATAAACCTCAATTTTTTTTCAGATTTTTGGATTTTTTTGGTAAAGTTTGCATACAAACATATAATTAACTTGTGCTCCAAATATTTCTTTAGTCCAACCAAAATACAATTATCTAAGGTGTTTCTTAAAAAAAATAACACAAAATATGAGATGAGTAACTAATGACACAAAAATATTCAATAAAAAATAATAATGAAATCATCATATAAAAATAAATAATTGCAAAGTCGTAATGAAAATGATCATAATTTAAAAGTATTAAAATCATGCTAAAATAAGTTTAATAAGTATTAGTTACATTACTAAATATTTAAGGAAAATTAAAATTAGATTATGTATTTTAATTGTCTAAACCAATGTAAAACTAAAGAACAAATATTCAATATTATTGTCATTCTTAGTGTTGAATTGATTTTCTTTTTGCATTAGTATTAATTTGATTTTGATTTAAGTTTTATTATAATCATCAACATCTATGAACTATAATCTTTATTGGACCATTCCGAATTCTAAATTTTAAACTTGAAATAATATATTAAAAGATAAAAAACTATGAAATAGTATAAGAAATATTTAAAATTATATCAAAGTAAATATTTTATGTATAAAATAAAATTTTAAAATTATATATATAATGTCGGGGTGGGTTGGTCTTGGGTTAGTTTTTTTTAGTTAAAACCAAACCAATCCAAATATAATCGGGTTTTTTTTTCCAATACCAAACCAAGTCAAACCAAACCACTAGTCGGGATTTTTTTTCCGGTTTGATTCGGTTTACGGTTTGGTTCGATTTTGTACACCCCTAATAACAAGAGTAAATATAATATTGAGTCGTGCTATTTATAGAAGGATAGTTAAAAATTTAACTATGTACTTAGAAGTAAGTTACATGACTCATTGGTTTAGATTAGTTTTTAGCTAGAAGAGGTCAGGGTTCAAAAATTTCTTCATATGTGAAAGAAGAAAGAAGGCAAAACAAAAATTGTTTGAATCCTTACAGTAATAATTGTTAACATGTATCAACAAGTATCGTGATGAAATGATAAGTATTAGACATTAATGGAAAACTAAAAAAAAATGCTTGTTAATACAGGATTCATCATATATTCCTCGATGTCAGCCCATAAATGTATGCACAACGGACATATATTACGATCACAAACTAATATACCTAAATGTCTTGCAAATTAGGCATGATGCTTCTTAACAATTCGATTATCTCAAGCTGTTTCAAGTAGTTATATTAATTCCATTGGTTAATATTTATATTAACGATTTACTGTTTTTAGTTGATAAAAATGAAAAAGATATAAACGTAAGACCCCCCCTACTATCTAGACTATTGACTTATGTAGACTTAGTTTGAAAAAAAATTAAAATTCATAATAGTGAATAGAGGTTTGGATAATAAAAAATAAGGGTAATGCTAAATGGCCAGAAAATTTGGTCAGAATTTGGCCAGATATTTAAAAAAATTATAATATCTTATTTATTTTAAAATAAACTAATCTTTTTTCATTTTTAGTTAAAAGTATTAAAGTTAAAAGGGTAAAAATGTTTAAAAAGGTAAAATAACATTAGGTAAAATACTATTATGGCCAAATTTTGGCCAAAAGTTTAGAGATGTTTGATTTTTCACATGTTTCATGTTTAATTAGGACCTGTTTCGAAAGTCACTCTGTTATGGTGTAATTACGTGTAATTACATTGTCTGACATGTTTGATAGACCATGTAATTAATTAGTCAGCAGATAATTGAGTTTAATTGTTAGGATGTAATTACATTTTGTTGTGTGCATTCCAACAACAACAATAACTACGAAACTCAAGTCAAGATCGATTATATGAATTCTCAATTCTTTATTTAATTATTTTCACATCACTGCCATATGCATCCAATACAACTAATTTATCCATATCTATATTAATACAAATATTAAGACCGATAATTTAAGCGTAAGTTGGTTTTGTTCACACAAAAACTTGAGCAAACAAAAAGCACTTCATTATGTATTTATAACCTCCTCATCGGATTCCTCTCTAAAAACACTCGAGAAACAAATGATTATAATTAATATACTAGAGATTCAATCTTCTTATTTTTTTGGATAATTATATACTAAAATTTATAATTTGAATGTCTTCCCACAAACCTTTTAGCCCTGAATTCCGATACTAATTTACCAGAAGAAACTCGAATCCCGATACTAAAGATGTCGTAGTTTCCTCATCGATCCTTCTTGATCCATTTCTCAAACCCAATCCCTGTCAACATCATGGATGATTCTCGCTCCATTTCAAAGGAAAATAGCCTCTCCAAAAAGGTCAAAATGTAAATTTAATGGAAAAAACTACGGCATAAATCTTTTTTCTATTTAGGGTTAATTAATTTATTACAATTAAATATTATTATTTTTAATGACTGAATTTTAACTCTTTCTTAATGGTGAATTAAAAAATAAATCATGACGATTGATAGAAAAATTAATTATTATAAATATGCATATAATGAACGAATTCATATTCTGACCTAAAAAAATGAAGGTTAAAATTCACTTTTCTTATAGTGTGATAAATTCACTTGATTTCTTATGATAAAATTAGCAGATAATTTATATATAGAGAAAATATCTCGAAAGGTTGCTCAACTATCGAAAATTACATATCAAAATCGAACTTTGTTGTGTATTTAAAAAGTCACTCAACTTAGGATTTTTCTCTTATAAAATCACTCAATTAAATTTATCATTTAAAAATTACTTTACGCCCTTTACATTTTAGATTTGAAAAATAATACACTTTTTACATTTTAAACTAGATAATATATACTTTTAATGTTAAATCAATGGCTAGAAATAAGCCATATATATTTTAAAGATATGTCAATAACAATCCTCAATAATACAAATTTTCTATTCTCAAAATTTTTAGGATTACTATAAAACTTACTCACACATATATAATATTGTAGAATACTTATATTCAAAGAAAGTATTAAAGCCTATCATAAATTAAAAGATTATTTTTTGAATCTATTAGACAATTATGCAGGTGTAATGGAATCACTATAAAAAGTGACTCAACTTATAAGTTATAGTAGAGAACAGGGTTTGAAAAATATTTTAACTTTGGCCGAAATTGTTGTTACGGTACCAAATTTTATGGAGGACCTTTTACCCCTGCACTATTTAATAGTGTATTTTAAAGGTATATATGTGCCCACGTGGACATCATAAATATTGCATAATTATAAATAGTAACGTGTCCACGTGGGCACATATATACCTTTAAAATACACTACTAAATAGTGCATGCAGGTAAAAGGTCCTTTCCAAAGTTCAATATCGTAACATCAATTTCGGTCAAAGTTCGGATATATTTCAGATATTTTCCCCAACTAAACCCATTTCCTTTGATTAAATCACAACAAAGTTTTTTCTTTCGGTTAATCTTTTGTTGCTATTTTACGCGATTCTATGAAATAAAATTTCCAATATTAGTAGATACAAAATGGATCAAGTTAATTTGAAACTCTAGAAAATGAAAATTCATGCAAAAAAGAAAAGAGAGCTTAAATGTCAAAAGAAAGAAATTAAAGGGAAAAAAGTATGAAATTTAATACTTTTATGGTTTTATTACTTTTTTATTATTATTACTACTATACGTGTTAGTTGATAAAAATAATTGTGAATATTAATTTATTGACAATTTTAAAATTTAACTTATTATTAAATAATATTATTCATTAAATAAATGATATACATTAAATATGTGTAGATAATAACTTTAATAATATACAAAAATCAAAAATCAAAATAAAGATTCAAATCCATCGAATTAAACACCAATCATCCTGCAAAGAAAACGAAAAACTTAAAATCATTAAAAATTATAAACAAAAAAGGAAAAAATATCAACAAAAACTAACGGTTTACAATTATTGATAAGATATTTTAATGCTTAAAAAGTTGCTATATCTATATAATGCATACACAAGTCTCACTGATAGTGTTAATTCTAAATATGAAGTTGATTATAGTGACTTTTGTCTCAACAACTACAAAATCACATCCAAAGAAAAAGGAAAAAAGTTATTTCGTCAAAAAAAATTATGCATAGTTATAAAAAAATAAATGTTTTACACTTTTCTTATTGTTTTTTGATAAAAACAGTTACACAAATAAAATTTGTCGAAGTGTTTGATGAATATTTGATTTATGCATGTATTCATATTATATACTTTTAATTCATATTAATTAAACACCAATTTTTACATTATAAAAATATATAATAAATCAACTTATTTCTAATAATTGATTTAACATCAAGGTCTATTATTACATTTAATTTAAAATGTGAAAGAGGTATAGTTTCTCGAATTCAAAACGTTAAGAGTGTAAATTAAAGTGGGGGGTTTTTTAACGACAAGTTTGATTGAGTAATTTTACAAGAGAAAAAATTTAATGATTTTACCGTATAATTTCTCGTTTATAAGATAAGAATTGAAAGAAATTTCCCACTATTGAAAGCAGTTATTTACTGTTTTTTTTTTCTTTTGGCAGAAGAATGACTAATTAATTATATTCTCTTGTCATTATTTATTCAGTGGAGAATATATGGGGAATGTGACGGGTAGGTATGTAAATTTTTAGGCATCGATGACTAATCAACTTCCTGTAAGTTTTCCTTTTTTCCTTTTCAGTTTTAATTAATAATTAGTATAGTAAGATTATCCTTTGTTGAAATTTATTAATAATTTGTTATTTAGTGAATGAGAATTGTATTTAATTGCAGGAAATTATGAGTTTGTTATAATTAGTGAAGAATGGGGAATGTGATGGGTGCATTATTATCAGGTTTTGGTGATATTGTTGGCAAATTGTTTGGTCATCCACTTGATTTTTTGTCTGGAAAAGCTTGTAGGTATGTTAATTTTTTATCTTAATTTTTAGGGTAAAATTTCTCTTCATTTGATTTTTTTTAATTATGTTTTGATATAGTTAATTGATTAACATTTCAGTACAGCATGTGCCCCAACATGGGATTTTCTTTGTTACATAGAAAATTTTTGCATCCCTCAACTCTTGAAATCAGCCATGGTTTCAATCCTATTATACTTTGGTTAGTTTCTTAATTCCTTACAATATTATATATATATATGCAATATAGACTGATTGTTAGTTCTGGTTTTTGATATCTATCTTCATTTGGTTCTTGTGTTTCGTGTTATTATATTATTCTGTTGTTGTTTATTTTCTTTTCTAGTAGCCTTTGTACCTTTTCTCTTTTTAGTTGTTATGTTTTCTTTTTTACACCTAAAATTGCTGCAATTGAGCCGAGGATCTTTCTCAAGGTGATAGCAAGGCATGCGTATACTCTATCCTGTTCAAATCCTATTTGTGAAATTTTACTGTATTTGTTATTGGAAAATAGATTGATTGAATGTGAGTAGAAGGTTTTTAATGTTAAGTAAAATGATATCAAGGAATTTGTGCAAAATACACCAGATATCAAGGTTTTCCACAAATTGTTATTCAACTATAATTTGATTGTCTTGTTTTAGGAAAAATGGTAATAGTACTCCTCTATCTACTGTAGAAAAATATCTTAATTTCGTTCTCCGTTAGAGTTTTGAGTCATTTAATATCGTTGTTGTTAGCAAGTTGTCTCGTATTTGCCCTTCATATTTGACTGTAACATAGCTCTAACATGATTATATCATTGTACTCTCTCTCTGTTTTAATTTGTTTGTCTTAGTTACATTTTGGATAGCCAAAGAATATTTACATTTTATTTCAAAAAGTTGAAGATTCTATGTTTGTATTTAGTTTGACTCTCGTACTCTGAATCAAGTCAAACAAATTGAAACAGAAGTAGTAACTAACTTGATTTTCCTATGTTTATTTGCAGTTTTCTTGTTCCTCTACTTGCTTTACAAGTTGGGAATTTGTCAGTGCATTTGTCACATACTTTGTAGAACTACTTGGGCTTGTTTCTCCACTTGCTTTTCAGCCTTAGATTGTTGTTGCACTTGCATTTGTTTCAACATTCAGAAACTTCTTCTTACACCTAGACATAATAGAAGAAGAAGACATCAAAAAGATATTGAAGAAGCACTTGTTGATATTTCTAGTAATTTTAGTGAATCACAAGACTCTATTAAATCTGATGACACAAAAAGAAGAAAATCAATGAGGGAACATAGAAAAGAACATATGAGGAAGTCTTTGAAGCCAAAGAGTCATCATATGCAAGTCCAAATTGTTAATGATTCAATCCACCACCACAAGAAGAAGAAGTTCAAAAATGGTCCTATCGATGATCACATCCGAGTGAGTAGAAGAACAAAATTTGCACAAAAGGGAATGTTCGTTAAGGGTTCAACACGTTCACGAAGGAGAGCATAAAAGGAGGGGGTTCTCAGACTCTTCAAAAATCTCACGGGGTGTGTGTTTGATCTGACATAGATGTGATCACAATATATATATACTTTTGGAGAGTCTGAACAACATAGGTTCTCAATTCTATGGTCTTCTAAATCTTGTAAATTCTGAAGTTTTCGCCTAATATATTGTTTAACTTGTATACTCTGATAGTGTAAAGAATTGTAATACATTTAATCTTGTTTTAACAAAGAATTTGGTTTGTATTTTATGATAATAGTCCACTTTTTTTTTTGTTGACAGTTATCTGTGCTAAACTCTCCTCTGTTTCCTTTTACATATTATTAGTCTGCCTTTTGTGCACCCCTTAAAATACACATTAGAATTAAGAGTCTAGCTTTGATCGCCACTTCTCGGTTAGCTTGCTCAACGCGGAGGCTAAACACACATGTTGTGCCTTCCCTAGGCGTTCAACGAGTAAGTCTTCGAGTTGTTCCTTTGTTCTAAACATGAAGAGGCTTTTTAATCAGCCCTTGTTGCAATTTCTATGACACCAATGAATAACCAAACTTAATAATGTTTCTAGTCATCGATATCCTGGTTTGTGGATATGAAAAATAACATAAAATCTGGTGATCCTATTGTGATGACATGAGCAGGCCTAAACAAGTACACTTCTCATGTGAGACACTTTTAGTTTGTGTATAAATTGACTATATAGACAATGTTGGGCATGGATATGGTGAGATACAACATCCTTCCTACTAATCTTTGATAAGCTTTTGCATCCTCCAACAGTGCTAATTTGTATAGTTTTATCAAAGTGAAAAGCCTCCACACTATATGGTAAATGAGATGGATTCACAGGGGATGAGGAGGAAATAATGATTACAAGGATGCAGATTAATTACAACAATGTCAATGACAACGAGATCAATGATAAAAGTTGTAACAACTCGGACTTTCAGGATAAGATTTGAACCATTCTACGTATGTAACTTGATCTGAACTCAATTAAGTTGATTGTATCTAGGTAAAGGTCAAGTCTTAAGTGGGGTTTGAACCGGAACTTCTAGGTTTGAATGGACACCCATTACCACTTCGCCAAAGGTATAGCTTTTGTCAATACAGAATTTGACATATATATACAACGAAAATTTCCAACGAAGGGTATCCACTTAGACACCCTGGGGGTGGCTATAGCTCCACCCTTGGTGGGAAGTGTGTTGGATGTGAATTAAGGTCATGAAGAACCTCTAGCACAAAGTCAAGTTGCTTGGGTCGTTCTACAGGAGGTTAAAGCTTTGAGAGAGATGGGAGAGATATCTTTTTGCATATCTCGTATCCAAAACCTCTTAGCAAACTCAACCGATTGTCCTATCTGGTCTAATTAGCTGACCTTATCCCGCAAGGCCTGATATCGTACCCCTTTTGAACGGTTTCATTCTATTGTTGCTTGTGATTCGAAGAGTAGATCTGTGCTCAGCTGGATTCGTTGGACCATTTGGAGAGGGAGGGTGATCGAGGGGACCCAGACTTTCGATCTCTTCTCTATGGCGGGAGGTTTCTTTCGTATCCTACCAATTAAGTTTTAATGTAAACTCATATACAAGACAAGGTCAACTTCAAACGAGCATACTTCCTGGCTTCGCCATTGTACAAGGTCAACTTCAAACGAGTATATCTCCTACAATTACTTCATGTTCATTTCAGAATTGTCTTCATCACTCAAGCTGCATAGTGCTTTGTTCTTTTGATTTCCTCCGAAAGAAAGCAGTTATTCACTGTTTTTTTTTTCTTTTGGCAGAAGAATGGCTAATTAATTATATATTCTTGTGATAATTACATAGAAATTTTTTGCATCCCTCAACCCTTGAAATCAGCCATGGTGTCAATCCTATTATACTTTGGTCAGTTTCTTAATTCCTTACAATATTGTATACGCAATATAGACTGATGGTTAGTTCTGATTTTTGATATCTATCTTCATTTGGTTCTTGTGTTTCGCGCTATTGTATTATTCTGTTGTTGTTTATTTTCTTTTCCGGTAGGCTTTGCATCGTTTCTCTTATTAGTTGTTATGTTTTCTTTTTTTGTTACTACCTAAAATTGTTGTAATTGAGTCGAGGGTCTTTCTCAAGGTGATAGCAAGGTCTGCGTATATTTTATCCTCTCCAGACCCCATTTGTGAAATTTCACTCCATTTTGTTGTTGGAGAATAGACGGATTGAAATGGTGAAAATATGAATGAGCCCAAACTATAACAGAGAATGAAATTAAGATATTTTGCATTATTTACCCTTTTGATTGTCTTGAATTGTTATATTTTCCAAACTAACTCATACTCTCTCTATTTCAATTTATGTCTTACTTTAGTTAATCCTTTGTTCTAACATGACGAGTCTTAATCATCCCTTGTTGCACTTTCTTGAGAACTTGACTACATAGGCAAATGTTGGGCACGGAAATGGTGAGATATAACAACCTTCCTACTAATCTTTGATAAGCTAAGCCTTTGAGGTTTGAACCGGAACTTTCGAGTTTGAATGGACACCATGGTGTGTGGTTGTTTGAGGTTTGAACCGGAACTTTCGAGTTTGAATGGACATCAATTACCACTGCGTCAAAGGTATATCTTTGTGAAGGTTATCCAAATTTAAATATATATGTCCTTTAAATACATAATTTAACATATATATACAACCAGTTATCTCTATAGCAACAGTTAATTAAGAAAAAAATTTATGGCAACAATCTTTATTTAGCGCTTTTATGCTTGTTGTATTCCATTTATCTCTCTTTCTTCTTCATTTAACCACCCATCAGCGAAGTTTTTAAGATTTATGGTGAGAAAAAAGAAATGAAGTTATATAAACGAAGAAGAAGATAATAATTAGTAATGGGGTAAATGGGAAAGCGTAAAAAAAAAAAGATCCAAGGTAAAGGACACTAATTCGAGTTCAGGTAGCCACGAGAAAATGATGGGCAACTGCTGCCCCCGACTAATTCTCATGTTACCGTTAATGCCACTTTCCGACTTCCTAGTATAAAAATAAGATAATTAATTTTTAATTTTTTCATGTGTCGTGTCATTTTACAATTAAAGAATATTTGTTATATTTTAAATTTCATAATAAAATTAAAATTATATAATGCAATTGTTTTGTTGGAATTTTTTTTTTAGCAGTTGTACAATTATTTAAGAGACCCTTTTTTATCCTCATTTTTGCGCTTCCAAACCCAAAACAATCATAGTTGTATATATATGTCAAATTGTGTATTAATAGGTATACATTTTAAACTAGACAATAAATCCTCTTAATATTAAATTAATGGCTAGAAATAAACCATATGATTTTAATATATGCCAATAACAATCCTTAGATTAAATAATGCAAGAGATAAACAGAGACGTTGTTTTCTAATCTCAGAACTTTTAGGATTACTATAAAATTTACTCACTTATATATAATGTTGTAGAATATTTTTATTTTTTTTGGTAGTTTTTCATTTTTTGATTCAGAGAAAGTATAAAAATCTATCACAAATTAAAAGAAATTTTTGTTATATATATTTTTCTTACGCGAAGATTATCGATACTTAGGCCAAGGCCTTTGGTTAATACATTAGCAAGTTGCTCAGGAGTGGCCAAATGCTGAATGAATACAAGACCTCTTTGAATCTTCTCCCTAATGAAATGATAATCAATGTCAATATGTTTGGTTCTTTCATGAAAGACAGGATTAGATGCAATATGGATGGCAGTCAGAGGAGGAGTTAGGTTGGGGTTCATGGGTTCGGACGAACTCACTAGCTTTTTCGTAGACCCTATATTTGTATTAGAAAATTAATTAAATATATGTTTATCAACATGTGAACCTCTAAAGAAAATTGATTTAGAACCCCCAAACTCCTAACCTTGGCTTCGCCTCTAATGGCAGCAGTGCTAACACTATGTATAACAACATGTAAGACAAGAGGCATATCCAGTTCATGAAAAAGACCAATTATCCATGTAACTTCAGCAACAGTAGAAGCCATGCTTCTGTATTCTGCTTCGTCAGAACTCTTTGAGACAGCGGATTGCTTTTTTGATTTCCAAGAAAGTAAAGAGTCCCCAAATTTTATCATATACCAAGTGATGGAACTCCTAGTATCAAGGCAAGATCCCCAATCAGTATCACAATAGGCTTGTAAAGAACCAAAAGATTGTGTAGCCAAAAGAATGCATGAGCATGGATCCTGTTTGATGTACCAAGGCTTGCGTATAGTACACTCTATCCTCCCCAGACCATATTTGTGAAATTTCACGGAATGTGCTGTTGTTGTTGTTGTAAAATAGACTTATTGAATGTGACTTCTTATATACTGATACACGGAATTAGGAAGTAAATGGTTATTATCATTGTACTCTTCTTGTTTCAATTTACAATTTGGACAATTGAAGATTTTATATCTGTATTTACATCGAACATTAGTTAGTTTGACCTTCATACTCCGAATCAAAGTCAAAGAATTAACTTGATTTTCCTCTGTTTCTTTGCAGTTTTCTTGCTCCTCTACTTGCTACAATTTGGGAATTTGTCACATACTTTGTAGAACTACTTGGGCTTGTTTCTCCACTTGCTTTTCAGCCTTAGATTGTTGTTGCACTTGCATTTGTTTCAACATTCAGAAACTTCTTCTTACACCTAGGCATAATAGAAGAAGAAGACATCAAAAAGTTATTGAAGAAGCACTCGTTGTTAGTATAAGGGTATATATATTCTAGTTTTTGAACGATAGAGACATTAATGTCTTAAAAATATGACGGAAAATATCTGCATATCATTTATGATAGTTCGGGAGTATATTTTATTTTTCCCTTATTATTTTGGTGCAAGTAATATGAATTGCATTAATGACTTAATGTGTGAGGCTGACGTGGTGAGCATATCCTAATGTTGTTATTGGTAGAGTCGAATTAAGTAATTTATTAATTATATCACGTGACTAAATGAAATTCCAGCTGTCTTTTCTTTTAGGATCTTTTTCACAAAATATATTTTTCAAATCTTGGAATATATATGTCAAAAGATATGGCGGCTTCATGATAAGATAATAATCAAATCTTTTTGTTCAGACAAAATGAAAAAGACAATGCTTGTGATTGGCAGGGAGGAAAATATATTTTTGAAATAATTTTACAAATCTTTCTTGAAGTACC